GTTGCATGGTAACGTTTTCACATAAGTAGATTTCAGTGCTGCATAAATGTGTTATTTGCTAGATTTGTTTACATTTATACTTGCTTCAGATCAAATTGCAAGAAAGATCTTATTAATATCCATGACTGCTAATAATTGTTTCAAGTATCCTTGGATTCCTCAAACTACATCTCAAGTTTCCCTTCTCCCTTGCATATGTTAATGATTGTTTCACTTTTTTGGCTCTAGTTTGAGACAAACATTATTTCTTTTTATTGATTTTAGATGTTGCATTTGTTTATACTGTGCATCAGGTGAATCTCCTTCTTCTTCTGCTTCTGATGTTGATAACTTAAACCACCCAACAGCTGTAGACAAGGTTTCCTTTCCCAGGGGTGTTAGCTCTCCCCAGGTTGCTGGAAACACGATCATTTCTGCCCGAGACCGTCCAAGCTTTTTGGGCCTGCTCAATTTTGTAAGTTTAGCTTTGTAGAACTAGGCATTGAAATCATAATTGGTAACTATTAACAACAACAAAACTGTAGCCTCAGGATATGAAAAATTGTTGAAATATTCTTGGAATCATATCCTTTGTACCTTTTTCTCCCTACCATTTGACTCTGACAGAGCACTTGGATTGAGTTACTATATTTTGTATCATGCATTTTCAACTTTGTGCCTTTAACCACATATGTTGCTATAATATTGGTGTATCCCTCTCAGCTTGCATCTCTTAGTTTATATTGCATGACCATTAGCATAAAAAATTTTGATGGTCTGCAGGCACAGGATGTAAACCTTGCAATGGAAGCTTCAAGGAAATCCCGGACAGCTTTTGTGGCTGCTAATTTAGGAGAGGTCAAAGGTGAAGAGATTGTCTCTTCTGTGAAATCAGCTCTTGATTTTAACTTCCATGACATAGAACGGTTGCTACATTTAGTACGGGTGGCAATGAAGGCCATTGGCCGTTAAAAGAATCCAGTCGGCAGGGATGCTGTTATCTGTGGAAGTGGAACTTTGTCTTAATTGTGTACCTCTTGATGTGAGGTCTCCAAGGAGAACAAGAGAAGTGGCTGCTTGGGTTTTCCTGCTTCAGTACTTCATACTTCTGTTGAGAAACTGGCATTCACATGCACTCCAGCTCTTGCTGTTTAAATGTTTGCAATACAAGATGAATCTGGAACTTTTAGTGTATAGAACACTTCAACTGCATTCTGATACTGCCATGGACCCACCATATTATTTCCTTTTCAAGATGTGTTGAGGACCTGTGATCTTAAGGGCTCTTCAGAAATGATTCTACCAAGCCTGTACAAATAGGCAGATTGATATTTGAAGGTTCAAGGAATAACTTTATCTGAAGATAGAAAAGCATCTATAGGTTGTTGTGGGTGGTAGAATTCTGATACTAGAGCTTGCCTATGTATTGGCAATTTGTTCCCCAGAGGGAGTTTCAGTCTTTACCGCTCATTAATTGTTAATAACTGTTTACTTGGAGACCTCCTAGGGATGGGTAATGCTATTTTGTGCTCCAATATCATGACCACCCTTCTGCAGAGGCTGCAATTTATTGGTTCAAATCCTATGTAAACAGGGCAAATAGTTGGCAGTCTCAGGTTGGCTACTCTTAAATATCACCCTGCTTTTTTACTCCTTTTATGCTGGATCCAGTGAATCAATCTTTTTCTTTGTTAATATAGTCATCTCCATTTATATTTCCATTTTTCCCTAATTAGACTTACTTTGTGTTTGTGCAGGTCTTCCACAGTATCCATTATTGTTTTCTTCTTGTTGATTGAGATGAGTAGGAAGATGTTAGGAAAAGTAATTGGCTCAAAATAAAGTATACATGCATGTCAACAAAGTCGCCCGAATATTATTTTTCCTTGAAGGGTTGGTAGGATATTCATCGTCATGAAATGCTTGTTTGAAACTTGCTTCATTTTTTAACATAATTTCTAACTGCTGCTCTTACTGTGTTCTTTTTGTGGCAGTGACCATTTATGTACATACTACATACACAGAGCTGAGTTATTCTCATTACGGAATGCTGCAAATTACCTAGTGTTTCTGGGTGGGGGGATCATGCTAATAATATCTGCAGCTTGACCATCTGGATGCTAATAGGTAATTATTATTCTCGCTGCTGAATTTTTTTTTTTCCCCGTATAAAATGACAATTTCCCATAATGGGTTCATTTCCGTACTAGATGCAAAACCGAGTTTTACCCTACTGCTATCAATCAATTTTTCAAATGTCTTAATCGAATTTCAATTCTCAAATCCATGATTAAACTAGTAAATTAATCGATGACATAATTAACAAGAGCCATGAACAAAATTTTTTCTACTCTTTTTGCTGAACTTGGTGGTTTGAGTCCAAAGCTACTCTGGTTCAATAGCTTGCTTGTTGGGTTTTAATTATCACTAAAACATTATATTTGTTTCAGGTTGAAGCATTTACAGCTGCTTGAACATCTTGCTGTCCCTACCACCACCAAGTTTCGGTCTTTCTCTTGGAATGTCTGAGTTTCTAATTTCTACATTACTTTTGGAGTAAGTATAGAGGTATTCACCCGACCGGCAATTTTGACATCATGTGCCCCCTGTTACGCACTTCATTCTTGTACATAAAAAAGACATTTATTCTAGTTTTTATTAAGAAAATTGAGTTCCATTGAAGCGGTGTTCTTCATTGGATGGATTGGTAATGTATTTGCCAATTCAGTTAATCTCGTTAATCTCCAGTTCCATTCCTCTTGTTAATTTTTCAGTTGAGTCTAGGACAATTACTGTCTCCATTCAACTTAAGTTATCTTAATTTAATTTTTTGAATATTAATTTCAAATTAAAATTTAACATAGTGTGTAAAGGATAATTAATTATTTTTTTATAAAATGAAATTATTTAACAAGAATTATATGTAAGGGAAAAACATTAATATTTATTTATATGTTTTTTTAAATTTTTAACTGAAATTA